GTTGACATTCCTTAAACCGAGCTTAGCACTGTGGAAGGTCGATGGGAGTAAACACTCCCATCAGTTTCCCTCACTCCTTGTGAATCAAGGAGTACTGGTGCTGACTGGAAGCACCCTCAGCTTTCAATTTAGCGGGTCTTTACTAGACCCACTAAATCAAACGCCAGACAATCAAGCTCCAGCACGGCAAGTGGAGAGGTGCCTTTAGTGCAGTCCACCATCCCAATCTAGGAGCCTAAATGCCTTTGAGGATCTGGACCTAAAAGACTGGGCTTTCCCTCATGATGACCATAAGAGATTATCTGGATAATTGAGCCTCTGTCAGGCCACAGGGGAGATGACCAGGTGGAGAAATTCTCTTAAAACATTCCAGTTAAATAGAATGTTTTGTGGGAAACTCTTCCATTTGACAAAATATGAAGTTTTTTCCATGTTCATCATCTTAGATGACAGGTAGGGGAAGGGAACAGGAACCTCTTTCCTAACAAGCTCTAATAGCTGTTGTCTGAGGTCCTTCTTCAGTGTCTAAACCAGGGGTGTGCAATAAGTCTGCCCCACCACTTCCCACGGCTCCCCTTGGCTGGGAACAGTGAACTGCAACCAATGGGACCTACAAGTGGCTGTACCTGCAGATGTTCAAGTAAATAAAGCATGTGGCAGTCCACCTGAGTCACATTCAGCTTACGGGCCACTTATTGTCCACCCCTGATCTGAATGGAAATAATTGGAACACAAGCTGATTTGAAAATACCTTTCAAGATGAATTTAAATAATTTCCATGAAGAAATGACAGAGGATTTCTCAAAAACCTTATTTTAGGGGCTGCAGCCAGGAATCTGATCAATTTAGGCCAACTCTTGTACCAACATTGAGCCTGTCCACCTCCAGAAGGCGCAACACAGACATGAGAATCTATCATGTACTTCAACCTATGAGACTGAGACCTGCATTTTTTTTAAATCATTGTGGCTGTGTCTAGACTGGAAAGTTTTTCCGCAAAAGCGGCTGCTTTTGCAGAAAAACTTGCCAGCTGTCTACACTGGCCACTTGAATTTCCGCAAGAACACTGACGCTCTCATGTAAGAAATCAGTGCTTCTTGCAGAAATACTATGCTGCTCCCATTCAGGCAAAAGTCCTTTCGCACAAAAGCTTTTGCGCAAAAGGGCCAGTGTAGACAGCTCAGATTTGTTTTGCGCAAAAAAGCTCTGATCGCGAAAATGGCGCTTGGGGCTTTCTTGCACAAAACCGCATCTAGATTGGCACGGACGCTTTTCCGCAAAAAGCATCCATGCCAATCTAGATGCTCTTTTCCGCAAATGCTTTTAACGGAAAACTTTTCCGTTAAAAGCATTTGCGGAAAATCATGCCTGTCTAGACGTATCCTGTGTGTTAAACTTGAAGGTGTTCAAACCCTCTCTTTGGAATGATAAGCGTGTGTGGCATCAAACAGTCATCATATGCATTGATCCCTGAGTATCTGAATTTTTTGAATGAAAGTTTATATGTTTCAATAGAAATAGATGTTTTATTAACAACATGCACATATATATATATATATTCAAAATACATGTACGCTTTTTCCTACCATTCACTTTAGAAAACAATCTCATAAAACCCTTAAGTCGGGTCCCAAGTCATTTTAAACATTAAAAACAACATTTTCCCATGATTATACAACAAATATATATTACTGCGACTAAGTGGCAGAGAATCACCATCTAACATTATAATGCAGGCACATGCCTTTCAGTAGAAATGGATGTCTCCTTTTGATGCTTTATTAATAATATAAAATATATTTGACTATGCCTGTACCAGCTATTATGTGTAAGGGTGATTCCAGATGCAAAACCATTCTATATAAGGGATTTGAGTGAGCGAATTCCATTTTGCAGCTCTGTCCCTGAATTCATATGACAAATACCTTGTGTATCATGCAGCTGTGGTTAAAACAGAACCCAAGGAATATGATAAGAACAGGGGAAATATCATTGCATGAATCATGAACGATAAATCATTGAATAAAAAGAAGGAAAAGTAAAGTCTGGGTTTATAGTGGGTAGAATCTGAAATCCTGCTATTAGGTTGTTTTGGGTTGGGTTTTTTGTTTGTTTGTATGTATTCCCAAGTATCAACCTGGATCGTTGAAGAATACACAAAAATATCATCAGGTGTATTGTGGTTTGTAGTCTTCACGGAAGGCTCCTAAAAAGGGGGACGGGGGCTTTAAGGCACAATATTTGATATAGTCAACTGAACACATTCACTAAAAACAAGACGTTCCATTGACAGTGCTGGAGACACGCATTCACAAGCTCAAGCAATAGCTCAGTAATCACATCCATTTAAAATTAGGCAGTTCAGGAGTGGCACCGCTGTATACATCAACCCAAATCCTGCAAGTACTTAAGCACATGTTTAACTTTAAGCACATAAGTATCCCATTAGCATCAATCAGGCTATATGTGTAGGTAAGTTAAGCACATTAAAAGAGCTTTCAGAATCAGGCCAGTGTATTCCCAAATGTATATGACTTAGGCCATGTCTTTACTAAGTGGAAGATCGACACTGCTGCAATCGATCTTTGGGAGTTTGATTTAGTGGGTTTAGTAAAGACCCGCTAACTCAAACTCAGAGAGCACTCCTGTAGGCACCAGTATTCCTGTTCTAGGCAAGGAGTAAGGGAAGCCGATGGAAGCGTTTGATCCCATCGGCCTCCAGCTATGGAGGTATATCGACTCCCAGCTACATACTTAATGTAGCTGGAGTTGTGTATCTTAATTTGACCTTCCACTTTAGTGCAGATCTGGTCTAAGCCTCTATCATCTAACTGCAAGGCACTCTGCCTTTGGCGAGTGATAATTATAAGCTTGATCCTGCAAATACTTGCAGCCACAAGTAGTTCCACTGCAAGCTATGTGACAACTCAGCACAATAAACACTATGCCAATTAGTAAATGTTTTCACAATCGGGCCCCATACTCAAAGCCAACCAGGAAAAGCAGTATAAAGAAAATGTAATAATTTACACCTTTATAATAAACAGTCTAGTGAGTTTCTATGTAAATATGCTGAACGTGAATTTTTCTTAAACCAGTCATTTGCTAATTACCAGATGTTATTACCAGATCAGACGTATCATTTATAGTCTCTCTCAGGTGTCAAATATTACTTTTAGATTATGTTCCAAGCGGCTCATTTTGAGAGGAAGAACTTTCACTCAGTAGAAATATAACCTCTCTGTGTGTGCACAGTACAGTAGTAAAATCATATACAGTAGACTTCCGATAATCCGGAACCTATGGGATTTAGGGGTGCTGGATTATCAGATATGCCGGACTACCAGGAGGTAGTATAAGCAGGTTATGTATATACTGTATACATTATATACTGTATATAAAGTGTTCTTAACCCTTTTTATAGTACATACTGTATGCAGTATACTGTAATGTTTTCTTTTTTTAAGCCTTTTTTACCCTTCTTGCTCAGTTCAGCTGCTGCCGCTGTTACCTTGTGACTCTTTTTTTGCCGAAGCTCACTCACTAGGCTCTTGCCATTTTGATGCCGGACTATATTGGAGTTTTACTGTACATTGCTTTACACTGACGGCTGACTGTGGGCCACATATAGATAGGCTCACTTAAGAAAAATCCAGAAAAGACTCCACACAAATCAAACTGAACTCTGACAGGTTTTAAGCATAAAACATCTCTTTATGTATCTGTATCACAGTACTAAGTGGTGGCTTTAACTGACTGTTAAAGTATTACCAAATAATTTAATAACTTTCATATTCAAGTTATAGGGATTGATTCACCTGTTCTGTGCAGACATCTGAATGTGTGTGCCATATGAGCGAAACTCTGCAATAGCATAACTATCTATAGAAATACAAAGTGGGGGCATTTGAAAATGTTTCCAATTTTGAAGTTCTGATTAAATATTTTCTTAAGAATTTGACCAAGAGTGAAAATTTTCATGAGAATTTCCTCCAGGTTTTTACTGAAATTTTTTAATTACATTTTGCCCCTCTCCTGCCAAAAAGAGGAACAAAACGTTAGTGAAAATGTTATCTAATTTTTCCAGCCAGCTCTGGGAGAGCCAAACCCTTGATCTTCTGAAACATCAAGCAGTTAGTTACTTAAATCCCCATTTAGAGTGTTGTTTCTTTATATATTTTAAAGGTGCATTAAGCTGTACCTCATCTTACAGCACTATATAAAATAAGTTTTTAACCAGCCAAGAAACAGTTACTTTTTCCCAGAGAAGGTAACTACTTTTCATGGATTACTTAAACAAGTCTTGTAGTTCTGCTCCAAGTTAAAGGCTAACGCCTGCTCAATTTTTCCCTCCCTTTCTTGCAAAATATCAGTAGAACTAACATTATGAATTATTTGTGAAGTATAATTCAGTGTAATGAGTCTTGCCTTTCAGCCCAGAATTATAGTGTATATACAATATAGTAGTACGCTCGTCAGTTTGAGAAAGGGCTCTTCAGCATTCAATACAATAATTTGATTTACAAATTCTGCTGAAAACAAAGAAAAAAGTGCATGAAGCTATAATTTTTAGAGCAGAAAAATTACATAATTTTAAAACCAGAAGACGGAAATTATTTTCCGTAGACACCCATTAGTCCTCTAATATCCCTTTCCCTGCCTCTACCAGTGCACACTGTAGGCAATGTAGCATCAGAGATAAGAGAGCTCTTTGAGTGATGATGACAAGCTCCTCTAACACAGTGACCATATAATTTCCCACATATCTTATCTACAGCAAACTCATTTCACTACCAGTTTATAGGGGCGCGTCTACACAGTACCCTAAACTCAAAATAAGATTCACAATTTGCGCAATGCAAATTGCATATCTTATCTCAAATTTATTTCAAAATAACGCGCTATTTAGGGTCATTCCTTAACCCTTGTGCAACAAGGTTTACCAGGATGGCAAAATAGCGCACCCGTTATTTAAAAAAAAAATGAAATAATGAGCAGCTTGTGTAGATGCAGGGTAGCTATTTTGGGATACCTCTGGTATCCCGAAATAGCCATGCAGTGTAGACGTACCTAGTAGTCCAGTCATTATTTACATCACATAATTGGAGATCTTTCTCCAGATTAGCTTGACCTTCTTTTGGGTTTCCTTGTTGCGCTATGTAGCATATATTAGTAGCATTTCACTGATGTATTTTCGGAATGTTTCAGTTTACAAAACTCAGGATACAGTATGAAAATTTGGGCCAGTTTTTCTGCTGGTTTTACTCCATTAGACCAATAATGGACATTGATTTCAAAGGAACTATGTTGATTTACACCAGCTGAGGATCTGGTCTTCAGACAATTTGGTCCCTTTTCCCCCAAAATTAAGTATGAGCATTTTGCCTCTAAGAAAAATGAAAGTGGCTTCTCATAATGTAAACATTCATAATTACTAATTTCACTTAAGAAACACCCTAGAGTTCCATTTTCCAACTTTCCTGTGCGTGTGCTCTCAGTATGCTATTTAGTATTAATAATATTTCACACAGCGGTCGCGTCTGAAATTTGGGAGTAGTAGTTTTGTTGAATTTAGTTCTGAAGAGTTTTACTAAATATTCTCTTCTTTCCTGGATGTTTAGTTCTCTCTCTGTCTGTCTCTGAAAACTGCAGTTGGCATCTAACTATGAATATCATTTTTGACTCACTTGACTTTGCTCCTCATACTTCCTGCCCTTTCCTTTTGTCATTGTATAGTTAATACATGCCTAACTGCAGCAAATCTGTATGCAATATACAAGAGCAAGGTATTTTAAGTAGGGTTACAGGTGGAATCTTATTTCTATACTAAGTACATCCTTATAAAGCATTTCTATTTCTTTCTCCTGTAAAATGCTTCAGAAATAGAAACAGTCAAATCTACAGGAGAAAACTGATTAATTGAATACATTGTTCTGCCTACACTGTTACAACATACTATTATTTCACCTTTAAAGCTCCAGTGACTGTAACGAGCAATGCAAAGTTGATTTCTTCACTATAAGCTTATAGTCTATAGAATTCCCATTAACTTCCATACATTTTGGATCAGGCATGTTTGTTCAACCATTCTGTGCTTCAAGTCATCCTTAAGTGAACAACAAATATACTGGTAACTATGCAGTTTACCGGCTTGTTAATAATGTTCTTCCAATTTATAGTGCAATCTTTGCTTTTGACTTCATTTATTTTAATGTCATCCTCTCCGTAATGCTACTCTTTGGTATGTTCAAAACATAGCTCTGGCAGTTATGACTTTGCCATTCTAGTCATCAGATTGCTCAGTGTGTCTCATAGGAAATCCCTAAAATTGACAGACATTTAACTCAACCTGAAACACTGTTACTAATACAGACAAGACTCATCTCAAATGAAAGTCTTCTTAGGTTTTACTACAGCGTGTCCAATATATTCCTATTCTGGAATGTGGGTTTTGTTTTGTTTTCAAATCACAAAAAAATGCCCATCTACGCTCCAACACTGAGCATGTGCTGTACCACATGGTCAAATATTAAATAGCACACATACAAAAGCCTCACAGACTTCCAGCCAAGCAACCTGGAGGGGATTCAAATCATGTTTAGAAAACACTGACAACTGGATGTGAAAACAGACTTTCATCCGAGCCATTCCGTTGAGTTGCAAAACAGCAAAATGTGTGTCAACAGAAAGACAAATAAGAAATGAGTGCAGTTTAGTGGATCAATTAAAAACACCCTCACTACAGCACTTCTTGTTAGTAGCAGATCCATTATTTTGCTCTTTTCTTTTTTAAATCCTAACCAAAGAGGCATTTCTTTTGGCACTGACTCCTTCAGATTCAAAGCATTTCTCCAAGAAAACTTGCTTTCTAAACATTATAGAAAGTAACTCCCCCTCCTCAATCTTCCTCGTCAGAATAAACTATTAATTCTGGTTTTACCTCTCACCGGGGATGGCATAATTTAAATGCAAAGTAGATAATTTGCTTATATCTACACTGACAACTTGATGTCGCTTAGTTTCTACAAAATACATGGCATACAAGGTCTCGGCTTATAAATCTCTTTACATTGCACCAGCTATGCATGTGAAAAGAAGGTACTTTATAATCAAGGTGACGAGCACAAAGACTGCAGAGTATTATTCAAAGTACCTTCTATTCATCTCCCATCATTTCTCGTAAGTGTGTTTACAATTAGTGCCTCATCTTTGTGTGTTAATAAGCAGTTCAAGCATTCAGAAACAAAACATCAGAGGATCTAACAGCTACTTCAGTTCATTTTATAAATAAGCAACTGAGAATTTTGCTCCAAGTGGCTGCTTGTATAGCCCATTCCATAAATTGAATTCTCTGCAGGATAAGGCACAATATGATATGAATGCAGCTCTTCATAATAGAGTGATTGAGAACAGCATTCTTGTACCATAAACTTCAGCCGTTTTCTTGTATCCGAGTAAGCGGTCCTATAACAGGGTGCCTCTTTAAAGTATTCATAGCTCTCTCTGTCTGTCTCTAGGTGGATCTTCCTCAGCAAATTGTTAATTAGCACAGACCTGCGGAGATAGGTCTCAGGGTCTTCAAGAAATCGAAGTTTCTGCAGAGAAAGTTTTAGAATACAAGTCCGGTCCTCTGGTAATATCAGGTGCTGAGAAGTAAAAACAACCAGTACAGCTTTAGGACCAAGGAATGAGAACAAAAGCTTTTCACCTTTGGAATATTTATTACACACATACTCACTTTTGGAAAATACCCATTGTAATCTTGATGTAAATCTTCTTCTTCTGCATATTTTCTCTTAAAGTAGGCTACTTTCGACGTCGTTAGCGTATTTGTCAGTACTCTGATTGGATCAGCTCTGTGACAAAAAATAATCAAAAAAGAGTATCAGCCACAATTGTGGCAATCAATGTCCCTTGTAATGTAACATTCTGGCATGTGTGCAACAATGTGTCTATAAACCTAAACTTTAGGGTTCCTGGGACTAAGATTTTTGTTTACAGATTATTAGCTCTATCCTTTTTTTCCCCCAAGCACACACTGGTGGTGCAAGACGCTTAGCAGAACTAAGAGAAAGATGAGACTCCTGTGATGAAGATTTACAGTTTGACTTTTATATGCGACTCAAGTGAAACGAGTAAGCTATCAGAAGGGCATGAGGCTAGCAACAGTTACAGAAGTATGAACCCACGAATGGAATACTAGTACTTCTCCTACAGAGTGCAGATGTCCTGACAAATGATAGAGCAAGAAGCAATGGTCTCAAGATGCAGTGGGAGATGTCTAGGTTGGATATTAAGAATAATTATTTCACACAAGGTTGGTGAAGCACTGGAATGGGTTACCTAGGGAGATGGAATCTCCATCCCTAAAGGTTTTTTAAGTCTTGGCTTGACAAAGACCTGGCTGGATGATTTAGTTGGGATTGGTCCTGCTTTTAGCAGAGGGTTGGGCTCGATGGTTTCCTGAGATCTCTTCCAACCCTATGAGTCCATGAAAAGTACCAATGAAGAACTTAACCTAGGAAGGATATGAATTTACATCCTGCATATAGATATGACAGTGCCTCAGCCACACTAATGTATATGGGAGGGGTGCAATAACAGTTAGTTTTTTCAGTGGTCTGCATGGCAGCTTTATGGTTCAAAATTCTTTATTCGCCGCCATACAAAAGAGACCATGTTACCTCCCCTTCCTCCAGTGAAGCGGGGGAGATGTGGTTTCACGGGAGAGCAGTTACCATTGTACACACTAGATGGCGTTGTGGTCACAGTAAAGTGCATGAGCTACTGAAGAAAGTAAAATCTTTGTTAGCTCTCAGGGCGGCGTGGAGTTGTGTGGTATTGCTTTTCAAGTCAAGGACACTAGTTTAGACTATGACTCGGATGGGCACCTTGATCAGAAAGAACACTCCATTTCATTCAGCGAAGAGGTAGACTCAGAGCACAGCGTTTAGCGGTAAGGGCATTGGATACAGGCTTTTGTTACTGCCCACTATAGAGGAAGGGACAAATGCAGGAGCAGATGTGGCTCTGATCAGCTGCTGCTGAGTTCTGGGGGTGGAGGAGTTGTTCTGGGCCCATCCGGATGCAAAAGTTCTAGCATGATAAATTACTGCCTGACTAACTCTCACTCCCCTGAACTTTCCAGATGCTCCAGCTGTGCTGGAGGCTCCCGCTGAGCGTGCTGATGCACTCCTTGGCTACGTCTACACTGGCATGATTTTCCGGAAATGCTTAAAACAGAAAAGTTTTCCGTTCTAAGCATTTTCGGAAAAAGCGCGTCTACATTGGCAGGATGCTTTTCCGGAAAAGCACTTTTTGCGGAAAAGCGTCCGTGCCAATGTAGACGCGCTTTTCTGCAAAAAAGCCCCGATCGTCATTTTCGTGATCAGGGCTTTTTTGCGGAAAAGAAATCTGAGCTGTCTACACTGGCCTTTTTCCGGAACAGTTTTCCGGAAAAGGACTTTTGCCCGAACGGGAGCAGCATAGTTTTTCCAGAAAAGCACTGATGATTTTACATTAGATCGTCAGTGCTTTTCCAGAAATTCAAGCGGCCAGTATAGACAGCTGGCAAGTTATTCCAGAAAAGCGGCTGATTTTCCGGAAGAAGTGGCCAGTGTAGACATAGCCCTTAAGTGTAGTGACTGTGTGCTCTCCTCTGCTATGCCCAGCCCAAAGGGAAAGTGGGCCCAATCCACTGTCATTGATGTCCATGGACATTTGGCCCATTGACGTCATTGGGAGCAGGATTGATCCCAGAACATTCCTTTGGACAGCAAGGGCCCAGTTCCTCCCCTACACCAGAGCTGAGTTTGACACAGGGACCAAGGGATGGAGGAGGAAAGGACATAGGTGGCTTTATGTCTCCTTTGTGCCTGCTCTATCCCGATCAAGGTGGGGGGCGAGGCATCCCTAACTGTACCAATGGGCCATTCTGGCAGCCATGAGTCACACTCCAACACCCCTTTTGGGCCAGGGGCCTCTGTGATGGAGGAGTGGGAGTGGATTGGCGTAGAATCAGCTCTGTTGGCCCTATATCACCCAGGATTTCTCTTATGCATGGATATTTCCCAGGGGCCAACCGCAGCTGGTTAACAGCTCTTTTGCCTGAGCTCACAGAAAATTCCACGGGAACCATCTGAAGGGGAAAGATCTTTGTGAGGTTCCACGTGCAGTGTTTGCTCTCCAATTATTTACTTAGGATAGGGCTTCTACAGGAAGCCAGAGGGCTGGCCCACAAACTCTGACTGGAAAGTTTAATTCTCTTTAACTTTCAAGGGATTGCTTTATTACTTGGGGCCAAAGCCTGCAGCCCTGAACTAGGACTTGATCATGCAAGGGAATTAAAACCCTACTGAATTTAAACAGGAAACCCCAATAATCCAAGAGCTTGAAGAACTAGACTCTAAGTCCTTCCTCATGCAAGCCTCCCATTGGCCCTTGTTCTAAATTCCAGCCAAGGCGTGCTCAGCACAGGAACAGAGTGGGGAACAATGGTGACTAAGAATTCCTGGGCCAGCTGCAATCTGTTTCAACTCTCAGTATAAGTTAGAGCAGCCTTGTAGCTGCTCTAACTTATGCTCTGCTGCAATGAATACACTTACACGTGAGTACTCCTAGAGGCCACTTCTCCCTGGTTAAAGGATCTCTTATAACACCAGACCAGCATAGAGGGGGCACGGCAGCTCTGCAAATTGGAGCCATCAAAGTCACTAACTTTCATTTACTTCAATGAGTCTGATTTGAAGCAATTTGTATTCCAGCTGCTAAAAGACATCCCATTCCTATGCATGTAGTCTGCAGCATTGCCAGATCCTTTGCTGCATTTGTATCAATTGGCTCCTGTAAACATTAGTCCCAGCAATTTATAGATAGCGAACCTTTGTCAAGTCACCAGGAGAACACCACTGCTGACTAATTTTATAATGATGTCAAATTAGGCAATGCTGCAAGAGCAGGTCTCCAGGAGATGTGGCTAGCACAGAAAATATTTGGCTAATCATATACTAGCTTCTCCCTGTTTAGATGGGCCCCCACAACTGCAGTATCGGAGCATAATTTTGAATTGGTTTATCTCACAACACCCCTGTGTGGCAGGCAGGGAATGGATGGGAAGCAAACACACAGAATAGGTCAGACAGGCTGGCTGGGAAATGTTTTAAGCTCTGCAAACCTTTGGGTCTGCAAGCAGGCAGGCTGGTTTGGCTGCTAGCTGGTAAGTCTCCTGGCCAGAGCCTGCCTCTAGCACCCCAGCCCCTTCCTTTCCCAACCCTCTGTCCTCCCACTCAACATACCCAAACCATCTGCCCCCCACTCTTCCACTCATACCCCCTCCCAGATCTGGCACCCCAATCCCCTGCCCCAGATCACAATCCCCTCCTACCCTAGCTCGCATCCCAAACCCCTGCACCAGATCACAACTGCCTACTTCACCCAAACTCCCTCCCAGACTCCATTCTCCCACCTGCACCCTAATCCTTTACACCCCAAGCTCCCTTCTGCACCCAACTCCATCCCAGACCCCACATCTCCTCCATTAATATCATGGAAAATTGCAGCCCTCAACCACTTTCCAAAATCGTGGAGTGCCCCCCTCCCATCAAAAATGAATGCCACTGCTCTAACAGATCAGTGTAGACTCTCCCACTGTCAAATCTCAGTGCTTCCACAGGCCTGTACACAGAAAATTTTGGGGGGAGGAGGAGGCTGTGAGAGGGGCTTGTGGCTGCCCTTCCCCTGGCCTCACCCCCATCAGCCCCAGGCTTCCCCTGGCTGGCCAGGCACAAGGGAAGGAGGCTGGGGCAGCATGCCACCTCTGCTTTGTCCCGGCTGGCTGGAATCGTCCCCATGGGGGACCATGAAGGACTGTCGGGGAGTGCATTCGCACCCTTCACGCATACACCCCTGCACATGGGCCTGTTCCAATGCAATTTTAATACTGTAATATCTTGCCTTTTCTGGTTTACTACCATGTTGATGCATAAGGGAAATGGGCCAAGTCTTGGGCTTGATTTGATCACTTAGGGTGCATCTACACAGCGCCCAAAACTCGCACAAGGGAAGGAGGCTGGGGCAGCATGCCACCTCTGCTTTGTCCCGGCTGGCTGGAATCGTCCCCATGGGGGACCATGAAGGACTGTCGGGGAGTGCATTCGCACCCTTCACGCATACACCCCTGCACATGGGCCTGTTCCAATGCAATTTTAATACTGTAATATCTTGCCTTTTCTGGTTTACTACCATGTTGATGCATAAGGGAAATGGGCCAAGTCTTGGGCTTGATTTGATCACTTAGGGTGCATCTACACAGCGCCCAAAACTCAAAATAAGATATGCAATTTTTGCTATGCAAATTGCAGAGCCTATTTCAAAATAGCTTATTTCGTCATTTGGTGTTGTCTACACAGCGCCAAATTCTGAAATAAAGCGCTATTTCGAGCCAACCCTTACTCCTCGTGGAATGAGGTTTACAGGGATGGCAAAATAGCACATTTGCGATATTTCAAAATAGTGGACGCATTCAAATGACGTGGGGGAGTTTTTTTCAGGCTACCTCTGGATAACTTTCCTTTTGGGGTAACTTTGCTGTGTAGACATGTCCTCAGACATACATCTGTGATACCAACATAGCTTTAAAGGTGATGATGTGCCTATGATTTGGCACAACTTCGGAGCAGACCGAAAGCTGCTCTAACTTGTGCTGACTGGGGCTGCTCTACCTTGCACTAGCCCTGGGGCTGTTCAAGCAGCAGCAGCAGATCACAAAAGGTGTCATGATGCCTCGCCACCCTTCCCTGTCAATTCATACCCCCTAAGCCAGTAGCTGTAGTGGTGGCATGGGGTGGTATTGGAGCCACCATCATGTTTGTACATTACCCAAATTCCTTTATATAAAGGCCAGCGCTGCTGGATTTAAGGCAGCTTTATGCCAGAGGGAATTGAAGAAAAAAGTGTTACTATCCTGGAGAATTTGAAATAATGTTTCTCAACCACAAAACAACCCTTACACTAAACAAATGACGCACATTAAAAGGACATTGTTTCAGGAGTCTGAGGCTTATTGGTGTGCTTAACAAATGTGAATGGTCATGCACTCTGATTTGCCCATATATTTGCAACAATCATGCATGCAGGCAGTTAAGTGCCCAAATAGCCACTTACACTTATTCAGACATGGAACAGTGGGAGATGTGTGCTGATGTGGAAGACCAAGCACCTAATGGGCATGAGAATGAACTGTCACTCATAGACAAGTTAGACAACTGATGGTTTGATCCCATTTTCCTTACACACCCACAGTGCTCGGTGACTTCAATTAGCAACTTAGACAAGGTATGATCGGGGGATATCCCCCAGTGCCACCCACAGACTTCCTGTTTCTGTATTTATAAACCCAAAGATAGACTCCCAAACTATGGTTTGAGCTACCCGCATTCTTTCTGACTAATGCTATAGTCTCTGACTTGCCTGGTTATCTACATTTTTCAGCCTGACTTACAGCTGCATAACACTGGAGTAATGCAGCAAGCCCTTAGTGCTTTGTTTATAAACACAATGAATCAGTGGTCCTTGTGTATAAGACTCTTCTGGGGAGTCAAGTGTTTTGAAAGTTACATTAAGGTGGCATGAATCACTCCCCAGGCTCTTAGCCTGCTGGGAGACAGCTGTATCATAACCCTATCAAATGTCTTCACTACCACCCCACCTTTCAAGCCAGGGGCCAAATTTTCCCAGGACAAGTTGAACCTCTCTAGTCCAGAACTCTCTGGTCTGGAAACATCCATCATCCGGAATGATTTTAATTAGACAGATGTCCACTTTTCATGGGTGTGGCCAAGTTTCCTGCAGTCCCATAAAGTTTGTGTACAGCCACCAGTGCTGGCCCAGTGTTCTGTGCTGTTATTTAGCTCTAATTTACCTTTAAATATCCTCTAACAGCCCAGTAAGCAGTGGAAGTGTTGGTAATTCTGCTAGACAATATTGTACTCCGTGGTCCAGCAAATTCTCTGGTTTGGAACCAGTCAGGCCCTGAGGGTGCTGGACTAGAGAGGTTCAACCTGTAGTGCTAGTGCATGCATCACTGGTGATGCCCCTGCTTACACCAGTGCTGGATTTGGCCCATATACTCAACCTCTGAAGTAAGGATAGTCACATTCAGCAAAGCATATAAACACACACTTAAGTACATTCTTGGTCAGCAAAGGCTAAAATAAGAATCTGTGGCCTGATTTTCTACAGTGCTGGGCCCTGGTGCATCACCTTCTGCCACCCTCACATTGGTGCACCATTTACACTTTGCATCACACTCTCGCTGAATGTCTGCTCTCTACAGACCATGCATGGGGGAGTTGCATTTGTGCACCATTTACACTTTGCATCACACACTCGCTGAATGTCTGCTCTCTACAGACCATGCATGGGGGAGTTGCATTTGTAGTTCACATTAATGCTAATGGAAGTTCGAACCATAAATCCCACACATCAGAAAGAATAGACGCCTACATCTCTAACCTTGATTCCCCAAATGCAACTTCACAAGGTCTTTAATTATATGTTATAACTGCATAATGTGCCTCTTTCTATTAATTTCAAGTCTAACAATAGTAGTGCTAAATGACATGATATGCGGCACTGTATTAAGATGCTTGGAACGGAAGGTTATCTTATCTAAATTAAAATGGAAATATATTCAGAAAGGACCAATGCCATACGCTTCACTGAAAATTGCAAGAACTCTTTAATTTGACCTGTGTGATCATAACAGTGGTCTCAATGACAGGGTAAACTCCTTTGCATGAATCCGTTGATGTAGAGTGATTTTTAACAATAATGCAATTTATATTGGGGGCAGGAGGTACAACTGAGATATTTAAATGGTTAGTTAGGCAAGGAAGAAGGATGGGCTTGTGGTTAGAGCTCTAGAGTGGAACCTGAAAAATCTGGGCTCTATTCTCATCTTTTTCTACTGACTGCATGTGTGATCTTGGGCAAGATACTTCATTCTCTGTGCCTCAGTTTCCCCTTCCTGAATCATGGCCCAGACATCTGCGGTGGATAACCTCTGCAATTCACTGACCACAATATGAGCTTCATGCACATTTCAAGGTGAACGGCAGGAACATGTTCCTACTTAGATTCCTATCACAGCATCAGGGAACAACATCAATATGCAGGTGGGCTAAAGATGAGAGAGACACGTACCATATGCAGCATCTCTTGCATAACTTCAAGCTTTTAAACCAATAGAGATTGGCATTTATTTTCAAGAGGAGACATGACTTTGACACCCCAGGGAATACTGTAACGTCCTTGCCACCATTTTCAAAATGCAGTAATAAATGGTCTTCTCTTTAACTCAAACACACCTTGCATATAAGGAGCCTCCTGGCTGAAATCTTTTCTGAGGTTCCAGCTTTTCTGGTCACAGAGAGTAGCTACTATGCTCTAGGACTCCTGTTTGACTCTGAAGCTACACCACAAGCAGGTAAACATGTGGAAGGGAGGAATTTTGCCAGCCCAAAGATTTCACATGGATTCAAAATCAATTGCAAACTCTTAAAAAGACGACAAATCTTGCATTCCTCGCTCAGACTGTAGGTTGAGAAAACTCCATTTAAAGTTTTGCCTGAGTAAAGACTGCTAGGCTCTATCCATACTCTTGTAATGTTACTGAAACTGTTGGCTTTGTGCTTTAAAATAACATTCCTAATAGTTTGCTAATCACGTCTGAGGATCCCACTAATTAATTCTATGCACATACATGTGCACATTTTCTTTGCTGATACAAGTATCCCTCTGCTCATGAAAGGTTTGACTTTTACATTAGTGAAGACACTGGACTTAATTACCAATTAGCTCCATTTCCTTTTGGGGAATTATTTGCTTTAGCAAAGTGAGCACAATTTGGCCTGCATACAGCAAATAAGTAACCTTGTTAAACTTATACACTGAAGAGGTCTCACCAGAAAACTGTTATATTGTTTGGCCACATTATATTACAGAGAAATGTGTTCTGTAATTAGACAAAGGCCATTGTTTTGAGTCTGCTGTCATGTTAGTTACCTTGTGCTGCTGAATCAATCTGCAAAGTGTCTTTCTGGGATGGTTTCAGCAATTGTGGTAAAATTTCCTCTTTGCCCAGGCTCAGCTATCATTTCTCCCAGTGCTGCACTGTTGAACCGTTACCTGGCATGGTAGACCAAGGACAGACAAACACATTTCTCTTGGCACAATCAAGACACACTTTGAAAGTTGTTAGCTTGTTAAGAGATCAAGATGTTATTTAAGGAGACCCTGTGAAAGTTTGTAACATAAAAAAGCAACTTCCTGAAGTCATATACAATTCTAGAACGTTGACTTTATTTCTTTGATTTCATTTGAAACATAAAGAAATTGAAACGTTACAAAAACGCATGTCACTTGGGCGTATGTTTTGCAGCAGTCCCTCTTATGTAATTGTTGTCCTATTGCCTGGTGCTCGTGAAATTACCTGAGCTGTATCTTTTCAGAACCCCAATCCCTCCCTTTACATGACATACTTTTACATCCTTTGATTGATTGCTGTCAGGCTTCACCTTTTCTGGGATGCAAAGGAGCTCCTGTCTGAGCAGGGTCTTGCCTTCTGTGTTAGAGGGGAATTTTTGAGCACATATTAAAGACACCACTCCCCAGA